TTATAAATTCACTGTAAACCACGGCTTCACGGGGCTTATTGCTTTAATAACACTGATACAAACAAACACTCACAGTAATGAGAGTCTCCCCGTTAGTGAAGCTGTATGACACACTTGTTTCTCCATTCTCAAACAAAGGAAGCGCCACGTCTCCGGTGCCTTTTACAGTAACAATCACTTTTCCATCTAAACCCTCACCAGCAGCGTTACCGTATTGGTCCTGCAAAGTAAGAAACAAACACTAACTCAAGCTTTCAGCATTTATCTGATCTACATGTTATGATTTAAAAATACAGAAATGACCAGAAAAAGGGCATTGTGCAGAAATGGATTGCATGAATGCTCCAAATAAATCAGCAAACAGAATAAAAATAATTTAAAAAGATAAATAAATTGTCACTTATCTCTAGCAGAGACCGAAACTCACCATGATCTTCAGATTTAAGCTGTCTAGCAGTGTGCGATTGGTCCGATTGCTACTATTGGACACAACAGGAGTTGAAGCTGGAGCCTCGGGGGCTAATTTCACCGCTTTATTGGCAACAACATTTAGTGGAGTCTAAAACAGAAACACAAATACGTATCCTGAAGTGAGCTGTAGGATATAAAGCTGCACATACAATAAATTGGGCAAAATAAAGTGTGTGTTCTCACCTGCTTGCTCCACAGATGTTTGGTTTCGTCCAAAGCCAACACAAACTGGACAACATACTGTCCTGCAAGCTCTGGAATCTGCTTATCCCTGAAAAAGACACATAAAAGACATACAAACCAAAACACACGAAAATTAATGTGCATGCGAGTAATATTTTATACGTGTATAGCTGCTATTGTTTTTAAGCAAACAGACACAGGATGATGTGTTTACCAACAAATGAAAGATTTCACGATTTTTCTATGGCTTTGAAGGTTTCAGTCATTTCCAGTAATGTAAAATAACTTAGAAACGCGCTGCTATAGTCAGGTTTTTCACGAAAGTGTCTTTAAATACTTGAAATGCAGGACATTTCGGAGAGAATTGGCACCAGTGGCAGACAAAAGCTTTTCAAATACTAACAATGCTTAAAAACATAACTGCTTATATGTATATGTATCCATTAATGTATACATTACATATACCTTAGTATATAAACATATCTATACATGCAGGATTTATTGCACTCACACTTATGTACATGCATTAGCACTTGTAACTTTATAATAGGTTTTTGTGGTTTTTGTACTTGTTCGTATGTCTCTGGCTGCTAGAGGATTCACAGAGTAAGAATTTCATTGTAGAGTGTAACTGTGTTTCCTGTACATATGACAATAAACTATTGATTGATTGAAGTTCTTATTTCAGACTTATGTTGCTTTATTACCTGAAGCAGAAGCAGTCGTCGTTTTCTGTGTCTTTGCGTTTACTACACTTCAGAGTCGAGGCCTAATTTAAAACACAAAACATTGTCAGATTTACTCCATTTTTCAAAATATTGTTTCATACCATGTATTCTCCTTTAACACATAATATTACAACCGGCTCTGTATGTCATATAATTCAAAATCCATGTCTTGTCAAAATTTTATTTTGTAATGCCCGAGCAAAAATGGCTGTTACATAATGTTGTCAGTCACAAAGAATACTTAAATGTTTTTTTGGGATACTTCCATCAATACAGCCATCTATTGGCCATTATTGTCATAAAATGATTTTGACCTGACAAAGTAATTTTTCTTTCACATGGCAGCAATCTGGCCCAAATGCATCATATTCTACTACTGTTTATACAAATATATATATATATACAGTATATAGAGAGAGAGAGAGAGAGAGAGAGTGCTGTCAATCGATTAAAAAAATTTACGAACTATTAATTAACTAATTGATCGCACATTTTTTCTAAAATATTCACGATTAATAGCAATTAATCCCACCTAACATTAAAGTTTTTAAATATACTTTTATATATTGCAATAATTTCACATTCAATCTCCAAATTAATGAAGAAACAACATGTTTAATGGCATCTTTATTTATGACTGAAGCCGAGTATCACTGATACTAATACTACTGATGACTCTAGGAAATTGTTCTTTTTTCCTAATATTTAACCATTGATTATAGCCATTCAACATTACAGTATAATTGACAGCTATCAATTTTAACATTTATTAGACTTTAAAAAACAGCCTAAAAATTTCTAATATAAGTTAACTTCTTTACATAAAACAATCTTCACATGAAACCATTATAATAAATGTCATATTTACCTGTGCCCTTCAGCAAGTAGGAAATATACAAAAATTGAATAAAGTTATCAACACTAAATTCTAAATTAAATATAGATGACTTCTTAAAGCTACAAAAGTTATTTATTTCCTCTTTTTTCTTGTGTTCTTTGATTAGCAGACGTCACCGAAGCTGGGTTGTTAAGGTTCTTTGGCTGCTATTACTTTAAGAGCTGCCGCTGCTGAACATGACGCATGCTCGTAGTTCATTCGCACTTTAATATGAAATGATACAGGCTACAGCACGCGTTATAACGGCTGACAGGACAGGAAAACTTGTTTTTATTGACATATGGCCTGACAATATCTCATCTGAGTGTAGTTCACTGTTGTTCTACTGAAGCTCCTCGTTACTTGTACCATTTCCGCGCTCATTTGAGCACCTGTCGCTGATGCAAAGTCTAAAAAGTCTAAATAAATGCAATTCTTTTCAAGAAAAAAAGAGACCGAAGCAGCAGTTGTGAGTGGGGTGGCCAACCCTAGCTCTGCGTTAACTGAGAATGAAATATTTTTAACGTTGTTAAACTGGAAAAATTAATCGCCTGCGTTAACGCGCTAATTTTGACAGCACTAATATATGTGACCCTGGACCACAAAACCAGTCATAAGGGTAAATTTTTTGAAATTGAGATTTACATCATCTGAATAAACAAGCTTTCCATTGATGTATGGTTTGTTAGGATCGGACAATATTTGGCTGAGATGCAACTATTTGAAAATCTGGAATCTGAGGGTGCAAAAAAATCTAAATATTGAGAAAATCATCTTTAAAGTTGTCCAAATGAAGTTCTTAGCAATGCATATTACTAATCAAAAATTAAGTTTTGATATATGTACGGTAGGAAATTTACAAAATATCTTCATGGAACATGATCTTTACTTAATATCCTAATGATTTTTGGCATAAAAGAAAAATCGATAATTTTGACCCATACAGTGTATTGTTGGCTATTGCTACAAATATACCCCAGCGACTTAAGACTGGTTTTGTGCTCCAGGCTCACATATAATATCGTTCCAAAACTGTATAAGTCTCTTTCTTATGTTAAACACAAAAGAAGATATTTTAAAGAATTTTGAGGAAGCAAACAGTTGTTGGTCCCCATTGACTTCCATAGTAGAGAAAAAAATACTATGGGGACCATCAACTGTTTGCTTACCAGCATTCTTCAGAATATCTTCTTTTGTGTTCAACATAAGAAAGAAACTCACACAGGTTTGGAACGACATTAGGGTGAGGAAATAATTACAGAATTTTTATTTTTTGGGTGAACTATCCCTTTAAGCAAAACATGGATTGAATTGTGACTCCGATATGAATCTTGACACATTCTGAGAGACTCACCCTTGTGGTTTCAAGCAATGTGTCTCAAAATAAAAGACCAAATCGGGCGACTCACGGTAGAGGGTGGATAGGAGCCTGATACCGTGCCCTTCCACAGCAGCATCGAGAGGTTTGCAGGGCAGATGTTTCTCACCGGCGTGCCATCCTCAGAAATCACGATCACTGTAAACACTAAAGACACCAGAAAATATGATATGCACACTAATCTATACTGAAGTTACAATATAATGTAGGCTTATATGCATCCACACACACCTGGGAAAATGTCCCCTGCATGTAAGCTAGCAGCACTGTCATATTTAATAGAGAGTTCGACGGGTTTGTTGGGGTCAGGAATCAAGTTTAGTTTTACTACAGGTCCAGGAATCCCCTTCCTGCCAAAAGACCCCTGAAACTGCAACTGATGCACCCCTCTAGAGAAGAAAGAGACAGAAAGTGAAAGAGAGTGCGTTTTTGTTGAGCATCATATTTGATGCATCAGGCTTTTAAGGCTCATATACTGATATAGTGAGAATATGGCACTTAGTTTTATTCAGAGGCCCAAACTGAGCAAAAACATGCAATTTGGTGCAGATGCTGATATTTATGTGGCTAAAAAGTAAGATGAAATTCTGAAAGCTTGTGATGTAAATCAATTAGATTTTTATAACAGTGCATAAAATGATATAAACCTCAGTCATCACTCTGTAGCTCCCAATAATACATCTTAGTAAGATGATATTTGCTCAGTTTATTGTCCCCATTTGTAAGTCGCTTTGGATAAAAGCGTCTGCTAAATGACTAAATGTAAATGTAGTTTTAAGATCAAAGCTCTGTAGTTTCAAAACATAATGCAATGATGATTGAGAGATGAACTAGTAAACGTTCCTCGGAAGCCTGATGAAATGACTAAATGTAAATGTAGTTTTAAGATCAAAGCTCTGTAGTTTCAAAACATAATGCAATGATTGAGAGATGAACTAGTAAACGTTCCTCGGAAGCCTGATCATCATATTTGATACTCTCATTTCAATATGACTTTTCTAAAAAATTATGTCTTTGGAAGTTGATTCAGTCCAATAGGTGTTCATACTGAAATATTACTAGCAATATCAAAATTATACTTACATTTGCTTTATAACAATCAGCAAAGATTTCACAGCAGAAAGACACGTGAAGCACGAGCTGAAGGTATTTAGTATACAATTACACTAAAGACCTTTTACTTGATACAAAGTTTGATCATGTTGATCATTTAGAGGCCTTGGAAATCCATGTGTCAAATATAACACAGTAGGCTTTATAGGGTTCAGTATGTACTTACTTTGGACCACTTATAGTTTCTAATACGAAGCAAGCTTTTCCTTCTGAATCCACAGGCTGAGAAGATATTAAAGACTTTATCTAAAAGAGAAAAACAAAAAAGTATTAAAAATTGCATTGCTTCAGTTGAATAGTAGGGCATTAGCTCTTAAGTAAAATTTTAAATATTAAAAGTTTAGATTTACAGACCCCACAGGAGGAACACAATTTTGTTTTGTTTTTATTTCCGTTGCAATTTTTGTTCCAATGTGAAGTCATAATGCAGATAAACAGTCTATAGGTCTAAAGCTGAGAAGGGGATGGATTTCACAATTTTATGTTTCATGTTCATGCATTCATTATTTTTTTTTTTTTGATTGTTCATAATATAGTAGTCAACATCTGAAGTGGATCAAAAAAGTTAATCAAAGTTGTCCTAAGACAACTGGTTTTAGGTTTTAGGACAACTTTGATGAAAGGTTTTGAGCCACTTCAAATGTTGACTAGTGCAGATAAACCCTCTAACTTGTCAACATAATAATTCGATTATTGAGAAGTGATAAAATTTCCAATCTTTTAGTGACATTGCACTGGGTTTCTCTCCCTTATGTTTTACAGTGTATGTTAAAAAAAGTACTTTTCAAGTACAGTCAATGTGATTATAAAGCAAAAAAATGCCTCTACCACTAGCCTGCTATATTCTTTTTCTATTCTATTGGTTTTCTTATTATATAATAATAATAAAAAACCTTGCTACGTGTACTGCGTTAAGCTGAGACGTGTTACAGCACTCGCATATCATTGCTCTCTTGTTGATTCTGATTGCTTCCATTGTCCTCATTTGTAAGTCGCTTTGGATAAAAGCGTCTGCTAAATGACTAAATGTAAATAAATCCACAGACCTCTCTTCCCTCAAATGTACCTTCAACTTTGGCATCAGAGCCTTCATCATGATTTCAATCCGCTGGTCTGGTGAAGGATTTCCCCATTCGTCACACAGCTGCACGACCAGCGGAGCGTCCAAGCCCTGGCCATTCACGACCTGGAGAGGCTAAAGAGGCCAGCTTTAGTCAAACTCTTCTCCCGCATGAAATTCAGTGTTGGGGATGTGAAAATGTGACACACCATCTCTGGCTTCTCCAGCAGCTTTATCTGTACCGGAGGTCCCGCGGTGACTTCGATTCGCACAAATTCCATCATGTCCTGATACTTAAAGCACAACTCCCTCGGGCCAGGAGTTCCTCCTACGAACCGGACCCGGCATACAGACAACCGTCCACTGCTGGCCTGCAAAACGGCATACAAATAAATACACATGCTTGAATGAAAATAAAGACACATTTTTACAAGTACTACATGGTATGACAGTGTATACACCATGCAATTTATAATGTTTTTTTTTTTTTTAAACACTACAGGCAGGGCCCTATTAAATCAGTTAAATTTTTTCCCAAATTCCTTGTTTTCAGTTTCAATTTTGTCTGGATTCCATTCTGATGGTTAAATGACATTTTAGTAATCAAAAAGTAATCACAAAACTTACACACATATAAACAACAATTTACCAAAAATGTAACAAAATGCGCAATTTTTCCCAAATTTCTTTTATCTTCCCCAAATTCTGTTTTATTTTTCCAAAATTCCATGTCTTTGATTTTAATTTGTCTGAATTCTGTTTTAATTATTTAATTTTAATAATCCAAAACCCATGTCTAATCAATTGAATTCATAAACCTTCATAATTCATAAACCATTATATTCAAAACATTATCCAAATATGTCTAAAAGGTCAAAAATAAATATACAAAGAGGCAGGGTAACTGCATTTCCTTGATATTATACATCAATATTAATGATTTAAAAAATGTATCATCTTGCGCCATGTAGCACATAAAGTGTTTGGATGGCAGATTATAAATCAAGTTTACATCATATAAGCCTCTTTCACACAGAGATTCATGTTACATAATTTTACTGATTTGCATGAGAAATTGGGCTTGTATGGAGGAGCGAAAACGCACTGCTAGAAAGGACCGCAATGATCATATTTTTCTTGATTATTGTATTTTCATAATCGTTGGGAGGCCGAAATCGAAAATGAAACTGTATTTTGATTAATTGCACTGCAATTTGATTAACTGTATAAATATATATATATAAAACATTTACTAACAAAAGCGAATTACAACACGTGCTGTATTACACGGACTCTTAAATTGCACAAAGTTTAGCAAACACAACCAACCAAATAAATACAAAAGCCGCCCACAATGTAACTTAAGCTTAGGTAAACAGCAAAAGTCAACAAGCTTTTCGAAGCTTTTTCGATACAGATCCGATACCAGTGAAGTTTTTTTTTTCTTCTAAATCAATGCAGAATTTCTATAGCACAGCTTTTTAATGAGGCAACAACATAGACTGGACAGAAAACAGACTCTAAAACGGTCACATTTGCGACCAAAAATATTAATTCACAAGCGATATTTTTGCTGAGATCACCACTGGCGACTATATAAATTCACATGTTATGATTTGAAAAATTGCATGTAATGCCTTTTTTCCCCGATTGTTTTGCGATCACTGATTTTACTGAGCCATCCGTCGTAACCGAACATGACTGGGCTGTGAATGCTGAATGACTGACAGCTGCAACAGAGAGAAGAAGAGTTTACGTGAACGGTAATGACCGATATGGCATTATAGAGGGCATCCCGATCAAAACCTGCTCATTTGCTTGTGTCTGTGGTTGTGTATACAGTACCTGCCATTCAACGGCCAGAGCTGATTTATCCAGACCATCAGCAGACACACTCAAAGTCTTCACAATATCAGCGTTCAGACAGTCCGTTTTATTCCCGTACTGATCAACAAGTTCTACATCTGAGAGAGAAACACAGGTTTTAAAACTTAATGTTTTTAACAAACACAAAACTGGTATGTGATCTACAAACAGAGCGTCTGTGAAAGCAAGGACACAATCAGTTTCAAAAGAAATTACATATGTGACCCTGGACCACAAAACCAGTCATAAGGGTCAATTTCTCGAAACTGAGATGTATATATCATCTGAAAGCTGAATAAATAAGCTTCCCATTGATGTATGGTTTGTTAGGATAGGACAATATTTTACAAAATACTGAGAAAATCGCCTTTAAAGTTGTCCAAATGAAGTTCTTAGCAATGCATATTACTAATCAAAAATTAAGTTTTGATATATTTGATATAGGAAATTTACTAAATATCTTCATGGAACATGATCTTTACTTAATATCCTAATGATTTTTGGCATAAAAGAAAAATCTATAATTTTGACCCATACAATGTATTGTTGGCTATTGCTACAAATATACCCCAGCGACTTAAGACTGCTTTTGTGCTCCAGGGTCACATATGAAGAAACCTGGGAATTTTGTAATCACATTACGACTCGCTGATTTAAAGTCAAACCCAATTATGTCGTACCTAAAGATGATACTTACATATGTTTCCAGACAGAATTTCTCCCATTTTCACAGTCGACTCGCTGAGGTTGACCCGCAAACGCTCAGGCTCATCTGGACGAGGCCTTCAGAGACACACACATGCAGAGATATGCTTTTGTTTAGGTATATAATGAAAGACAGACAGACACGTGATGCAACTGTGTGTAACTTACACAATGATGAAGGAAAAGTTGACCGTGTGCTGGTCGTGGAAAGACACGTGGTAGAAATGCTCTCTCTGTGCTTGAGACGGGACACTTAAAGGAGGCAGTTTTCCCTGAGAAAGCTCTTCTGCGTTTATATCTGCTGTCCAATTCACCTTCAAGAAACACACAAACACATGCACATCAGCAAATATTATTTTGATACTGTGCACAATATACACACTGCATGACAAATATATTACACATAATAATAATAATATTGTATTTGCTATATTGTTATATGCTATATTATAAAACATAAGATATAGCATATAGCATTTGTTATATTATTATGGTACATTATTCAATATATTAGATATAACAAACATAACATAATACAATACTATTATTATTATCATAATTATTATGTATAACAAATATAACCAACATTAATATATAGAAAATTCATGAACAATTATATACAATTTTGTTGTTGTTCGTAACAATAATTTATAGCATTTATAAACACAAGTAATTGTTAACTTACGAATATACTACTGATCATGGTTATAATATATTTGTTCATAACGTAATGACATAAATACAAAAAAAAAACATTTTATTTGTTATATTGTTGTATGCTATGTTACACAACATATCAAATAAAATATTGTTATATAACTATATTATACAAATAAAATACAACAAATAAAACATTATTATTATTATTATTATTCATAATATAACAAATATAATCAATATTAACAGAGAATCTTATTGTAAGATGTTACCAAATTTTGTTGTTGTTGGTAACAATTAATAATTTATAGCATTTATAAATGCAAAGTATTTGATAACATACAAATATATTACTGACTGTGGTTATCATATGTTTGTTCATAAGATAACATAAATACAAATAAAAAACATAGTATAAGCATAAGACAACCATTACCAGTAGTATTTTTTGCAAATTAACATTTAGGGCCAGTTTTACTAAACGGCAAAAAATTTGGGCGTGGAAATTTCTGCGGGTGATTTACTAACAACGCGCAAATTAAACAACACAGACGCAACATCTCATTTACATATGCAATTTACAAAGCGCAGCGCAAATTAGCTTAGTCACGAATAAACAATAAAGAAATAAATAAGCCACAGTACGTCGAAAAGAACCGGAGGCCAAAAAATGAAGGGTTCCAACAGTCTTGAATGACCTGGTATTGCGTGACTCCTAGATTAGGGTTCCAAGTCGTCTTTTATTTCCTGAAGCAAATTAAAAATAACATGGCTTGGCAAACGATATGTTCGGATAATGTGTTCTTTCCAAATAAATTAATACATGTGGAAAAATCTGTTCTCTGCAGTGCCTCTCCTAGCAACAAATTGCATCCATTTCAAGTGCAAAATAGTTTAAGACATGCTTTTTATGGGCGTTAAATAACGGCGCAAATGCCAGTAATTTGACGAGCGCAAACGTTAGTAAATCTCGTAGCGTGATTCTTTTGAATACTCTCCTCCCATAAATTTTGCGTCTGAAAGGGAAGCTCCTAGAAATGCATATTCAATAAGGTCAGGTGCAAAAATCACTGCGTCCACGCCTTTTCAGCGCTAATTCTTCACTGCGCGTCTTTAGTAAAACCTGACAGTACTATTTTAACGCCAAAAGACGGTTTGTGCAGGTGCAAGCTGTTAGTAAAACTGGCCCTAAGCAGATTGATAAATGCTATAAAAATTGTTAACTGTTACTTTATGACACCCAATTCATTGATGAATGTTAACGTATGCTTCTAATTTATTTTGTGTGTTCGAATATTTTGTCATAAAAAGGTTGTCAACATTGTTAAATCGCTCATTTTGTTGTGACTCATTTTTTGGGGCCGAGTATTACAGTCTGTCAGTGCAAACAGATTTAGTCACTAAAAGTAAACCTTAATCATGCTGGTGAGTTTTGGCCGAAGGGAAACCAGTCTATTGCCCTCATCATACAGTCTGAAGCACAGGTTTCCTAGCGTGTCTCCTGCCGTCCAATCAATGCGCTCGGCGTTCTGCAGCACCATGACATCATCAGAGCCCTCTTCCTGTCTGTAGATCTCCAAACGGGATATTCGTGAGCTGGGCAAGACGCGGAGCTGGCGTTCCACGCACGCCACTGTCCTGTGGTTCTGCATGCACATAAAAACACAAAAAAACTCCCAAGTTAAATGGCAAAATTAAATGGCCAATACACTTTACTTTTATGAAAGATTCATTAACAGTTAAACTCTGCGTTGGAGGCATGTAAGGTCAATATAATTTTATTTATGAGGTCAAAAAATAAATAAATGAAACATATGCACAGATGAATCATTTATTTGTAAAATAGATACGCTGTGGCTTTACACAAACAGCCCCTGATGCTGAGTATCTAGATTTTATACACATACTTTAATAGCAAAGCACACAAAAAACAATTACGAGCACTAATTGAACCCTTATTCTGAACACCACACACTATTCTCAAAAAATGTGAAGAACAAAATTTAACAAAATAGTTTATCACTACAAATCAAACTCTGAATTTTTAATTTAAAGTAGAAAAGACAGATCATTTATCAATACTTTTGACAGTTGGCACATAAAAACAAAATATTTTTTAAATTGAAAAAAGGTCTAGTATTATTTGCTTCTAATATCAGCCAAATTGAACATTATCGATAAAACACTGATGGCAAACGCTTAAAATCACAAATATAATGTGCATGCCTATTAAATATGCATTTTTTTTGCCTGAATGGTGATTAGATTCACTGTTTTTGATCGCTGCATTTGAACTGAGAATGCACGTCAGGTAAGGAGTTTTAATTCCCTAGGGGGCGCTGTTGGCCTACTTGTAATAAAATGAAAGTAAAATGCACAAATAAAATTAAGATTGTATTTCTGATTAAATAAAGCAATAACTGATGTTGTAAAATCAAGAGTAGGTTTTGATTTAAATGTCAGAAGATATAGCTTACATGAATAAAAATCACAAACATGACACTTGTAAATTAAATAGATTTATTTATTAATGCGTAATATGTTTTTTTTTCTTTTATCAAACAGATTACGAGCTCTGAAATGAACTTTAAGAATGTTTGCAACTCTTTTTCTTTAGACCATCTACAAATGTTACATATTTAAATAAAACGTTAAGGTTATCACTGCATCCGTCTAAAAAAAAAGTGACTGATTTATAGTTGATTTATAATTATTTTCAAAGCTTTCAATGTACTCTCATTATAAAAAAATTTAATTATTGTTTGTTTAATTCTAACAAATAAGTTTTTGTTAAAAACTAACTAAAATTAAAAATAATTTGTTTAGAACCTCTGCACAGGAGAGACTTGGTGTTGTTTCCAAACAAAAATAAATATAGGTATCGGTACCAATATCAATACCAATATAGGTATCGGTACCAATATCAATACGAATATATACCAATATCGGTATCGGTATTGGTACCAATATCAATACCAATATCGGTACCAACATAGGTATCGGTACCAATATCAATACCAATATCGGTATCGGTACCAACATCAATACCAATATTGGTATCGGTACCAACATCAATACCAATATCGGTATCAATATCAATACCAATATCGGTATCGGCAAAAATTAGTTGAAAAATATCGGCATATCGGATATCCGCAAAAATCCAATATCGTGCATCCCTAATAATAATAATATATTGGTTATACAGTAAATAAACAGATTAAACACATAGCAAATGATGCATCTTACAGGAATGTTGAACTTAGCAGTAAGGATTTGCTCAGCGTTTACGGTCTTCAGCAGAAGTGGTTTGGTCAGCAGGAGTCCAGAGCCGGTGTTACTGCAGTCCACAACATCCACGGGCAGATCAGGGGCCCCCAGCAACTACAAACACACATTTACAATTCAAAAGATGAACTGTAGTTCTGTGCCATTCAATGGAAGGTCTTTCATAAAATTGAGTTAACAAAAGTTTAAATTAAATGAAACATGCAACAGTCATCCAAAAAATGTTCTCAGTTTCTATATCAACTTTTTAATGATATAATTGTTTATACTCCACATCATTGTAGAAATATAAACATTTAATCAGTGGCTGTAATAAAATTTTGTCTTCATGACAGATTTATTCAAACATTAAATAATGAAGACAACATGTTAAGAAAAAATGTAATGAATACGTAATATAGTGGATATATTTATCAACATGCTCCTCTCTAGAGTTATTTTTTATAGCTGACTATTGAGTTAAACTGATGAAGATGTATTCTTAATTTGCTGGTGCTTTTTCTATTTGCATGTTGCAGTGCGCTGAGCTCTCTCGGCCACCGTAATATAGAGATCTCAGTTTTATTTCAATCAAATGTGCAGCCACATCTATTTATTTTAGTGCTGTCAAACGATTAATCGCGATTAATCGCATCCGAAATAAAAGTTTTTGTTTACATAATATATGTGTGTGTACTGTGTATATTTATTATGTATATATAAATACACACACATACAGTATATATTTTGAAAATATTTATATGTATTTACATGTATATATTTATATTCACAAAATGTATATTATATATATTTAATATATAAACATAGCATATTTTTCTGAAATATATACTTGCATGTGTGTGTGTGTATTTATATATACATAATAAATATACACAGTACACACACATATATTATGTAAACAAAACTTTTATTTTGGATGCGATTAATCACGATTAATCGTTTGACAGCACTAATTTATTTTGATTTTACATTCAGTTAAATTATTAGCTTTCCAACCAGTCGCGATCGCACAATTGAGAAACCCTGAGTTAATCTTTAAATGTTTTAATTATCTGTATATAAAAACAATAGAAGTCTACAGCATGTCCCCAATTGGACAAGCTAATATGCATGCTAAGTAAATGTGTGTGCATTCACCAAATAAATAAAACTGCTAAGTCACTAAAAGTCAGTAAATACGTGGTGTGTGTTTGTCGAGGAGTGCTACCTGGCAGCGGACCGTGAGTTTAGGCTGAGTGGTGATATTCTGGTACTCATCGTGAACCTCAACTCTGAAGTTTGCTGGAGTTCGATTCTCAACAGAGAGCACATCACCATCTGGCAACACCACGAGAGTGTGCGGAGGGCCTGGAAGATAAATGTCACCTGGTTTTTAACATACTGCTTTATATTTCCTCTTTCTGTTGCAGTTTCTGTGTTGTTTGTCATACCGGGTTGCAATACAATTTGAAGAGACTGACTGTCCTGCTTCAGTCCTGGGATGTGCACCTTCACTGTGTACATCTGTTAAAAATATCACACACATCCAAGTGCTGTGCTAATAGCGTCATTGCAAATATAAAAAAAATCCTTCATGCATTTTTTTAGCAAGAGCGTTCTCATAATACAGTATATGTTGGTTACACAATCATATACACCATATCAGTCATACAATACAAGCTTGAGCACAGATTTCAGAAATAAATCGAATAACCCTTTCTCTCTTGATTAACATACTTCATGTTGATTATTTGTGATTAGTTTATGCTCTGAAGAAGCAGTGTTGGGTAAGTTACTCTAAAAAAGTAATCAATTACTAGTTACTAATTACATCTTCAGCAGTGTAATTTCATTACTGTACAAACTACTCTCTCCAAAAAGTATTTAATTACTTATTACTAATTACTTTCTAAATCCTATATCAACCTCGACAAGTTAATGATTCAAGGATAGACATGAAACGCTTATTTTAATTCTTTCAAATAAATAATAGATAACTACATAAATTATTCTGGTCACACTTTAGATTAGAGTCCAATTATCCCTATTAACTAACTATTAACTATGACTTTTGCCTCAATATACTCCTAATTACTGCTTATTAATACTTTGTAAAGTAGTTGTTAAGTTTAAGAATTGGGTAGGATTAAGGATTTATAATAAGGTCTTGCAGAATAAGACATTAATATGTGTTTTTTTAAGTAATAATAAACAGCCAATATCCCAGTAATATTCATACTAATAACCAACTAGTTAATAGTGAGAATTGGACACTAAAGTGCTACCAATATTCTTATTAACTCACCAAAGTATTTGAAGTGAGAAGAGTACATAAAAAGCATGCATTTTAAGGTTAGACTTTAAATTTTGATGTTAAATCCACTATTGTATTGTATGTAAATGTTCTACAGTCTGTACACAGTTTTAAGTTCAATCACATAAGAAAATTACAGAAAAAATAATAATAGAGTAATCCCTTACTTTACTTTTTCAAGGGAAAAGTAATTA